CCGCCATCTGGCAATTCTAGAAGGTTGACAATAGCGTTTGCTACGTCTAGCAAGGCGAGAAAAGTTCGGCTTAAACTTCTTCATATTTTTTGTGTTTGGGGTTAAAATCAGTCAGTGCTGGCGAGGAATGCAAATGAAATCTGTCGATACGTGTTTTAATAAACGCGAAAACTTATGAAATACATTTATATTTTAAATTGATGGAATGTATATCAAAACTGTTGCTAAGATATTGTAAATCGTTTTTTATCAAGATTTTAAAAACGCAGTATGCAAATGAACTTGATGATTTTGCGGTGAAAATAAGTCGAAAGTTATTTAAATGCCTACTAGGACAGATCGTATTACTAGGACTTATTATACCGATGTCCAAGTCCAGCAAAATGACGAAACGTATCTACAGAAAAGGAAAAATCTTTATTGTTGGTCTGATTTACCTGTACACAATTTACACACTTTGTTTGTGTTTCGGTTCCTTACCAGCAGGTTTACCGCCACCACGTGATTATTTTGATTGCTAATAACATCGAAATATTTATATATTATTGCGGGGGTAAGTCCTTTCGGGTTTGTCGGTCCTCGTCTCTCTTCACTCTGCCGCTACATTGTGAACCTGCCGAACCCATAATGGTCTTGCTAAACGAGGTCTTCTTAGTGCCCACAGGCAGGGCCGGATTAACCCACTTTGGGCCCTAGACATTTTCTTCTTCCGAGTCCCCTCCCGGCTCTCAGTTACTATTATTTCTATTAAATTGCATATGGACAGCTGCTTTATAAAAAATAAAAGCAAAATTATTTAACAATATTTCACAGGATTTAAGAATACACATAGTTAATATTATTCTTATCGCTATAAAGAATATTCTAAATTATTGGGAGTTTTACTTTCAATAAGAAGAAACATAAGAATACGAGGGTTGTTCAAAAAGTTCGCGAACTTTATTTATTACAAAAAAAAAAAATACTTCACATACAATTTATTTGTCGGGGTCCCCTTCAAAGTAGTCTCCTCCGCAGCATATACACTTCCACTTTTTGAAATAGTCCTGGAATGCTTTTTCCGTAATGCTCATAAGCTCCTCCGTCGTTTTTTTTCTATCTCTGGAATAGTGGCAAATGTTTTTCCTTTGAGCGCGTTTTTTACTTTGTTGGAGAACAGGAAAAAGTCGCATGAGACCAGGTCAGGTGAGTAGGGTGGGTGGGGAAGCACAGCGGTCTTGTTTTTGGCCAAAAACTCATGTGTTCTGAGGGACAAATGAGCCGGTGCGTTGTCGTGGTGAAAGAACCACTCGCCACTCCTCCAAAGTTCGGGCTGTTTTCGCTTGATTTTGTCTCTTAGGTGATTCATAACACCAGGTAGTACTCCGTGTTGACTGTCTGGCCTGTAGGTAGGTATTCGTGACGCACAACCCCCTTTGTATCGAAAAAAAACAGTCAATATCATCTTAACATTTGAACGAACTTGTCGAGCTTTCACCAAAACAAGATATCAAGAAACGGGTTGAAGGAGGTTACTCGGGAGGTTTCCGCGGACACAACGCCTCCAAGCTAATTAAAAAATAACCAACTGGAGGCGCGCTATTCAAAAAGTTCGGGAACTTTTTGAACAACCCACGTACATTTTCTTTAGATTTTAGAATTCACAATAACCATATAAAAAGCAATATATTTTTGTTTATTTGTTTATTATATACTGTTGTCCAACAGAAAAGTAAACTATCTTATTTACAAATCTTTTCAAAATAGACAGTTTGACCGGGTCCTTCTAAAAACTGGGCCCTAGACATTTGTCTCATTTGTCTATGCGATGATCCGGCCCTGCCCACAGGGCGGAAAGAGTTTTAAAATATCCATTGGAATAACTCGGAAAATACGTATTCTAAAAGATTACTGAACCAAAAATGTTACACTTTAAGGGGCCACAAGAGGAGGCTATCGTTTTCATCATAAATGGTGATACAATAGGAGAAAAACAGGGTCAGCTTAAATTTCTTAAATGGGACTAATTTTTTATTGCATAGTATGAATTTACATTAAATGCAAACTTTAGCTAAAACATTATTTTTGAAAGATGCAGTTGTTAGAAGTTATGAACATTTGAACTTTTACACAGCCACCACACCGCATTCTCATGCATCTATGGGATATCTGCGAAGTCCATTGAAAAAATGAAAGAATAGAGCTTTAAAAATCTATACGAAACTGCTGTTATTTAGTGGAATCATTCTTTTCTTCAAATAATGATTTGATCCTCGTGCCGCATCTCGCGGTCATCGTAAATTTACTCAATACGTTTGTTATTTTAAATTAATTAAACTTTTAGTAGAATGTTTAATTAACTTGAATGCCTGACACAGTTTTCTCATATAGCAAACGATGTTCAAAAACATCTCCATTTTTCTGAATGCTTAAGTTAATTCTGTGTTTGAAATAGTGATGACTAGTGGCATCTAATATATTCACGCTGTCTCAGGAGTGCGCGTGGCCCGCAGCCTTAATAAAATTGTTTTGATTTTCTATAATACTTTGATTAGCGCTGGTTTTGATAAAAACATTAATTTTAACTTAAAATTAATCAAAACCAGCGCTGAACAAAGTATTATATGAAATCAAAACAATTCTATTAGGATTGCGTTTTATGCGCTCTCTTGTGACGGTATCCCCATATTAGACACTACAGCAACCAATGGTTGGAAATATCTCAGTTTTAATTCAGACATTTTGTGGTATTTTGACACAAGTTGTTCGAATTCTCCGAATCATATCTTCTTTACTTGTTGGTTCTTGTTTATAAACAACATTCTATAAGTATTCCCAGAAATAAAAGTTAGGCTAAGTCCGGCGATCGTGTAGCCAACTCACGTATCATTAAAGTTATTGTTTAAATAATTTACTACAATTCGTGTATAGTGTAGTTTCATCTAATAGCTTTTTCAAAGCATTTTTCTTTTTAAACCGAAAAAAAAGTCTGAAATACGTCACTACAGGCCATATTTACGACTAAGGATTAAGAATTGTGTTAGACATTAATCGATTACCATTCACTTCTAGTGCGTGAACGCTTGTTAGATAACTTCTAACTCCAGCTCAGCGGCGTACCGTAGTGGGGGCGACAGGGGCGGCAAAATTTCACAATAAATAAAATAATATCTTGTAAAAATTTGAAACATCCTAATCTATACTTGCATTGCGCCTACGATAGTGCTATCTTCCGGACAGTCCAGGAATCGGCTAGCAGGGTGAACTAGTAACTTTTTCATCCGAGGAGTTCCAGAGTAACCTGTTGATTTTTTTTTCTTGTACGATTCATTCGCGTTCATATACACCACTAATATCCAATAGAACTATTTTAAACAGGTCGCTGCACTACCACCGAATTTTTCATTGCTTTTTCTGCGTGATAAAACTGAATTTTGGTCTTTTAAATTGAAATACCTAAATAAGGGAGGAGCGAAATTTTCCTCCGCCCCGGGAGGCTGACACCCACGGTACGCCAATGATTCAAGCTCTTGATCTTTGGTTGCGAATACGAACATAAACCGCTTCCAATTGCCTACAATATATCCAATTTATAATAATTAAGTGATACCTTAAGACAGTCTCGTAGCCAATTTCTTAATTGTTTTGTCGTAAATGCACAATGTATTTTGTGAATAATATTAGTATGATCTGTACAAGTGTCAATTGTACAGATCGCACCAACTGTATCACTAAATACACAGTTCTCTTATAAATAGTTGTGAATACAAAGATTTTCGAAATCATGCATAATATAAATTATCGTCTATACATTAAATATGAAAATAGAGATTTGGTACAACAAAAGGAAACTGGAAGACACACGGACTGAAGACCAGGAATTAGAAAATAGCACTAGTAAGAAAAAAAGAAAAAACTCTGGCATAATGATGATTTTATTTTTGCGTCATATACTAAAACAACTTTTCACATAAAAACATTTTATTCGGCATTAGTAATTGCAATAATACCAATAGTTTTTTAAAAGCATTTTTCACCCCGTGGCCACTAAGAAAGCCAAGCCCACACTGGGGCGGACGGGTGGTGACAGACGGGGTTCGACATATCCGGACGGACCACCGCCGGAATAAATTCGTAGGGTCTTTCGACCCATCCAATTGTTTGTTTAGTTATGGCAACGCAACACTTTGGCGATCTGCCCAGGGGGGATGCCTTCCGGGAGGTCTTTTTAAGGAAAACTGGCCCCTATTTAGGCGTTACAGACGTGGAGAAAACCCGGAAAACTCCACGTGGCCAGCCCGTCCGAACGAGGCGCGAACCCACGACCGAACTCCCAGTGTTCGAGGAACGAAGACCGCTTGGCCACTGGTGTTCGATCCGAATTCGATGCCGGATTCCCAGAGCGGTAGACTGCTACCCTAACCGCCATCCGTTATCAATGGCAATTTTAGGTAATGTAAGTTATAGACCTACTGGAAACCGATAAATATAGTATAAAAATCGAATTTTTTGATATGTAAAAACATGTTTATTATTTAAAACGTAATCTGATATTTAAAGTTTAAATATCACTCGCCATTATTTCTTTTACCGTAGTATTAAGAATATGCATAAGTTTGAGAATTTTTTACTGCTAAAAATTTTACATATTCTTGAGCAGAATCATTATGTAAGAAAGCCAAGTGTTTGTAAATGTTATGTTGTAATGCCCCAACTAACAAAATTTTAAATTTGTTTTTGGTATAATTTTTATAGGGTTTTTATTTGTTAGTTGGGGGTGGTAATTTTATGTCGTAACTAACGACTTTACCTATGAATAAATACCTATAAATAAATAAACGCGTAAATAAATCATTATGATTTATATCGCTATAACTAAAAATTTATTTAAATTAAATTTAATTAAATTTTATTAATAAGTATATTTTATAAATATTTTGTAATTCTGAAAAAATAAAAATTTTAATTTTATTATTTTCGAGATAATTATTTTTGGCTATTTTTGGCCATTATCAGCCGTGTTTTGCGAAATCATTCGGCATTTTTGTGCCAGTAACTTAAATACCGAATGGCGTGTTTCGTTTATTGTGTATACATTAGTTAACGTCATGCCGGAAATTAATTTTAAACACATTATTTCGTTCAGCAGCGAGGATAAAGTACATAAAGCAGAGAATTTACTCCGACCAGATACATTTCGTAAATGGAAGTGTTCGTTGGGAGAAAAACAAGCATCGATAGTGATCCAACTAGAAAAGTCGAGTGAAATACATTCTATTGATATTGGAAATGAAAATTCTGCATTTGTCGAAGTATTGGTTGGGAGATCGGAAGATCCTATTAAGGATTTTAAGGTCTTGCTGGTGACATCATCGTTTATGAGTCCTATGGAAAGTAAAAATAGCACAAATATCAATAGAGTTCGGATGTTTGGTCCTGAAAAACTATCTAAACCGACATCTACTGAAAAATGGGATTTGGTGAAAATAGTCTGCACGCAACCCTTTAACAAAACTGTTCAGTTTGGATTATCATTTATCAAGTTGCATTCGCCACCAGAGCCAATTTCGGAAGAAAATGATAAACCGGTTCTAAATCGAATTGGTAGTTTTCGTATTAAGGATGATGATGAAGCAGAGCTGAGTGTGGGGAGTTGGTTTGCAAAAAGGAATGAGAAGGAACCGTCTGTTTCTGGTGCTGCGGCCGTGAGAGATGCGTCGTCGTTGGCGGCAAAAGTGTTGGAAATCTCGTCGAAACAAGATGAAAAATTAAAAAGTTTTAATTCAAAAACACCTGTGAAACAAAAAGTAGAGATTAATAAAAAATCACCAAATAATAATGAATCAAAACAACAGAAAAAAATATCAAAAGAAAATGCAGAATCAACAAGTAAAAAAAGAAAAGAAGAGTTAGAGCAAACAAAAGTTCCAATGCCTAAAAAACCAAAAACAAATACAAAAGACAAACCTTTTAACAAAATTATGAAAAAGGTTTTGTTTGTTTTGAGTGGCTTTCAAAACCCATTTCGCGGTGAACTTAGAGATAAGGCAATAGAAATGGGTGCAAAGTATAAAGGTGATTGGGAAAAAGGATGTACACATTTAGTTTGTGCATTTATGAATACACCAAAATATAATCAAGTGAAGTCAGCAGGTGGTCGTATTGTTAACAAAGATTGGATTTTAGACTGTTATAAAAAACAAACATTATTGCCTTGGAGAAATTACATATTGGGACAATATAAAAAAGATAGTTCTACAGAAGAGAGTGAAGATGAAGTTGATATTTCAGTGAATTTGCCTGATTCTTCAATAAAATCTAAAAATAAACAAGAAGTAAAAGATAAGGATAGTAATAAAAATAAAGATTATATTGAAATAAACAGTGATGAAGAATATGCAGCATCAACTGATGTTGATAGCAGGAGTTCAGATTCTTCAGGTTCTAATACCGAAGATGAAATTAGAAAAGTTCAAAATAAAGCAAACAACAATAATAGTAATAATAATATCAATGATTTCAAAGTGCAAACTCGACCAGATACATCAAAGCTCCCTCTTCCAGAATTACCTAGCTTCTTTAAAGACAAATGTTTTTTTTTGTATGGAAATTATTCTTCTGATGAATTACATACGTTACAAAGATATATAATTGCCTTCCATGGATCTATATCAAACTATATGAATGAAACAGTGAATTTTGTTGTGACTAATGCAGCATGGGATGATAACTTCAATGATGCTCTTGAAATAAATGAAGATATAATATTTGTGAAACCTCAATGGATATATGACTGTACAGAGAAATTGAAACATATACCGTATCAGAGATTTGTAGTTGTTCCAACTTGAAAAATACAAGTTTATTGCCAATTTGAAATCAACTGCAAATAAATCATCATTTTTATAAAGACAGTTAAAATATATGTAATATATTTTCATCATAATTTCACCTCTGTAAAAATACATTTTAATAAAAAAGAATGTTTACTATTCATATTGCAAATTCTATTTTTAAATTTACATATAAAATCTGGAAACAAGATGATTTTTACTTGTTGCACTTTGACTGTGATAATAGATGCACGACTATATTGTGAAAGGAAAAGTACAGGGGCAGGACACTACTAATTTGAGGCGGAGAGCATATATTTTAAATTACATAAAATTAAAATATTAAAAATTACAGCACGGTATCGTGACGATATCACAATAAATAATTGCTAGTCTTGAGAGTATGGTTCCTTTAATAGTATAATTAGCATGTCCATTTACGAAATATACTATATATCCGATAATTAAAGAATAATTAATTTTTATCACGAATTTACCAATGTTTACCCTATAATTAAAACTCAAACGTACCAAAGGTCACGGCCCACCAGTGGCCAAGTGGTCTTCGTTCCCTGAACACTGGGGGTTCGGTTCGTGGGTTTGCGCCTCTCTCAGACGGGTTTTCTCCACGTCTGTAAGATCTTTGAGAGTTTTCTGTTTTTATCTCGGCAAGATGTTAGAAACACTGATTTTTAGAAAAGAAATCATCAAGGACAAGGGCCTCCAGTTTGCGACTTTGATGTAGATATTTNCAACAACATAATCACATAAAGCTGGACAATTGGGAACCTTTTTTGCCAATTCTTAACAGTCTAATTCACTCTTTGTCGATTAAACTTATGAGTTTCTTTGGATTCTGATTTCCAAATAATCATCTGTTTTCGTGTGGGAATGAATTAAAATTTATATTGGGCTCCCGTGTAATTTTGGAATTCAATTCAAAAGCTTTGTTTTTCCTATTGCTATTCATCTTTTCTCCTGACAATACACAAGAATGATTCAAATGACCCAGATAAAATACTTCTGTTTTCAAACACCAGAAGGTGAGAATCTGGTAAAAAAATGTGGATACAGTTTACAAATATTATTGCAAAAATGAAAAGAATCCTTTACTCGCGTATAGGATGACCTAGGTTTTTGAAGCAGTGAAAAATAAATAACAGCTTCATCTTGCATGCGAGTAAATAATGTATATAGAGTAGGCTAATTTAAGGTTTTATATATATATATTTCTTAAATTAGTTTTTTAATATTTAAGAGCCCAATAATTTGGTAAATCATCAGGTTTTGATTAATTTAAAAATTGGGTTATCAATAAAAAACAAAAATTTATTTTAAATTGTTAATTTCAATCTTAATATAAATATGTCATTAAAAATGATGTGCGACAAGTGATTCTGAGAATGGATGATTAATTATTACTTTATTTTCAGAAATGGGCAAAAGGGCATATATTATTAGATCTTGTATTCAGACATTTGGAGCTTGTAGAAAAAGATTATTTTGGCCTTCAGTTTATGGAAGAGAAAATGTCTCCTGAAAATATGGTAACATAAATGAATTTATTTCAAATTTAACTTCAAATTAAAGTAATGTAAATATTTGATATATTTTTATTTTTATAATAAAGCATTATTGTAAATCCTAAACTCTAATTTTTTAACATTCAGTTTTTAGGAAAGAGAAAGTTATTAAAGTTTATTACACATTTCTAAATATTGATTAATTTTAAACAACAAAAAGTGAACATGAATAAAGATATACTTTTGCTTTTAAGATATCTTCTATTAATATACTGTACTAGACCAAATATTCAGTTTTCAGAGATCCAACATTACCAAAATAACTGGCTAATTTTGAATTTGGCAATCTAATACAGCTGCTTTATTTTGGTTTCAATGGCATATGTATTGCACAGTGCCAGTTCTAGTGTGACTGCTGTGTTGTAGATGATTAACAGTTAAGTTTATTTGTTGGAATTTATAATTTTCATTTATAACCATGACTAAAAGGCCAGATTAATAATCATCAAACAGACTCTGATTTAGAAATGTATTAATTTGTATTTGTTAAATCCAATTTTAGTTTTTACTTTCCATTGTTTATTTTATATTTTAAGAATCTACTTATTTTATGTCCAGAAAACAAGAAAATCCATAAGTCTAGCCATTCCTGATCCCAAGCTTGCTGAATATTTGATTCAGTACTATATCATACATAATATGTAAGATATATGTATTGATTAGACATGATTATTTTGATTTTTGGGCTGCAATTTGAAAAAAATTGTAGACCTGTAAATTCTCACTGTCATCTATCTGTCTGTGCTTCCTTAATCTCAAGAGTGGAGATGTTTAGTTAGATGAAAGTTAAGACCAGATACAGAAAGCTTAAGGGCAGGAGCCCCAATTAACCATATATGAACTTCTAATGCAAACCAGAAGTCACATTATTTCAATTCAAAAATTTCCTATGAAAGGAGTTAGATAGATGACTGGCACAACTCAATTTCTAAAGGGAAAGTATGATGTACAGGGGTAAGACACTACTAATTTGAAGGTGGAGAGCATATATTTTAAATTAAATAAATTAAAAAATATGACTAAAAATTGCAGCCTTGACAAGCAAAATCAGCAAGTTGACAAGCAAAAATATTTGCTTGTCAACTTACTAAAAGTATTCTGAGAATATTTTAACAGATTTTGAACACACAAATATTTATCATGTTTGTAAATGTTCTAATAAATTTGAATTTTGTTAATTTTTTAATAAAATTATAGATATTTTTCTTAATTTAACCCTGGGCTAGTGCAGTGGGGTGTTTCGCCACCCCCAACGTTTTAAAAGTTGCACTATTCATAGATTTCGCAAGAAATATTTGTGTCCTCTTCATTAGCTTCCTGATTTTATGTATAGAGCATGCTCAGAAATTACTACGATGCTGCAGAAATTCCAGTAAGAGAAAAACAACAGTTTTCAGTAGGGTGTCCAAACACCCCACAGTATTAATTACATTTTTTTTAAATTTTACAAATATTTATTTAGTTTTTTTTATTTTAAAAATAACTATAATGTGACCACATTTATTATTTATAATATAGATATAATAATCAATGTGAATAAAAATAATTTAAGTTTATTTTTATTCAAAATGGCTGACTTTCATAAACACATTGAAAAAATACCAAACATAGCAAGTTGCTTGTCATTTGCACTGAGTGCCAAAGTGCAATGTCAGCTAATGAATAAGAGTGACAAAAATGCTTAAAAAACAATTTAGATTTTTACTATTGGTTTAATAATAAGATCTAATGTAATGAGTTTCGATAAATGTTTTTTATTTTCGTGGATTTATGTACTAATATAATATGTAATCATACCTGAATATAATCATATGTATAATGACACATGCCTTTACCAAATAAATGAGTAAATCTTCATGAATTTTTACTTACATGGTTTATGGACCCAAAAAAATGTCGGGGTGGACAAACGCCCCACTGCACTAATGCCGAAAAAAAACTCAGTGCACTAACGCAGGGTTAATATAAATTATTAACATTAACATAATATATAATAATATTAAATTATAAATTTTAAAAATTATTTAAGAATTTTGTAAGATTTATAATTTTATCATTTAAAAACATAAAAATTAAATGCATTTTTACAGAAGTTATAATTATTAATAAAACTAAGTAATAGAGTGCAAAATTTTAATGATTATATGTAAATATTTTAATACTTTTTTTATATTCATTGTTATATTGATGATGAAATTATAAATGTGAAAAAACATTTAAATTTAATAAAATTATGAAAATCAAAGATATTTATGGTAGACAAACATGAGAATTCATGAATTTATTATTATTCTTAATTTAGTGTAAGCTTATTCTCTTATTTCAGAAAGTTCTGTGATATCAAGCATTGTAAATTCAAACTTATTTTAAATTTCCAGTTTCAGAATAGTTTATAAAACATAAAGCTTAAATTTAACATAATTTTTTATCCTATATATAATGCACATTATATTATATGAAACTCTCTTTCAAAATATTTTAAAATAAATACATTTTTTTTAATATTTATTTTTATTAGAGATGGTTAGATCCAATGAAAGGAATAAGAAAACAAATTAAATGTAAGTACTAGATTTTTTGTGATGAAGATAAATTTGGTTATTGGATTAATATAACTTGATTCTATCATTTGCAAACAACTAAATTGTATTTTCATCATTCTAAATTGTATCATATCTTAATTGTGATCTTAATAATTATGAATTAACAAATGGAAACAAACTCAATCACCAATATTCTTATTGGTGATTGAGTTTGTTTCCATTTGTTAATTCCATTTTTCTAAATAAATATTCATTTAAAAAATCATTACACTATCCACTAACATGGATAGTGTAACAAACACAATACTGATAAAGGTTTTTTGTGGACAGTTATTACTCAACACAGTGTTACAGTTAGAAGACATTTGTGTCATTTAAAATAATTGTTTTAATTGAATGTTTATATAGAAAATGCAATAAACAAATATACATTTATTACAAATAACTATTAACTATTGTTCAGTTAGAGATGTTTTGTTCCTTTACTATAACTATGGTATAAAGTTAAATTTTTAAATTAGAGTATATCAAAACAACTAAATTTTAAATTATTGTTAACAAATTAAACAGGCAAATAGTTAAAAACAATTGAATCAGTCATAATTAACTAACTTACTGTATAGAAGCACTTTATTTAAAGAAACTCAGTTATTGTTGTTCATTTTGAAATTGGTATTTTTAATCTTTGCAGAAATACATTTAAAATATTTAATTTTGTCTTCTCAGGTGACAGTTTCAAAAATTACAAATATAGATATTTCTTGTTTGTCATATCTATAAAATAAGTTAGGCTTTTGTTGTGGATCAGTGATTCTCTAACTTTTTTGAGTTAGCACCCTCTTGGTTCCATAAACTTATATCCAACTCCTCCAACTGTACTCCCAATGCTCCCTAACCTGTTTTTCCCTTGAAAATATTCTTAAAAAAAAAAAAACTTTTCTATGAACCTCACACTTTGTGTCCTTACCATACCTCATTTATTGTTGCTATTTGGTCAGGACTCTGATCCCAGTGCTTTCCTACTGCCCCTCTGCTGTCCCTTTGTTTCTTTTTGCCCCTAGGTTTAATCACTGCTCTTCAGGAGGCAGTAGTGGCCACTTTGGGAACTACTGTTGCAGATAATTTAAACTAAGAATTAAAAAAAAAGAGGAATGCTGTGTGTTCAGTGAAAACTGGCTCATTGCACAAAAGAAAGCATTATATGCAATCATATTTTCTTCTTTTACAATACCATTGCATATTAACAACTTCTGCATTGTTGAAAATTAATATGATTATTTCAAAGCTATTGAGTTGTTAGGAAAGTAATTTCGTTTTTTTTTCCGTGGCAAAAAACACAGTATTGTTATAATAAATAAATATTTTATTTAACTATATATTGACCATTTTGGTCAAATACCTGTTGCCATCATTTCTGCTATAGCATGATTCCATGTTTATAAAAGTTTTGATGTTTGCTTACAAAAAACAGATCAAAGTAATTTTTTACATTTTCATTTCAAGTAAACGTCTTACAGTTTAAAAAATTTTGTAAAGACTGGAACAAGTAATAATCTGAGGGTGCCTGATCTGGCGAATATGGTTGGTGTGACAGCACATCCCATCTAAGCTGTAACAGTTTCTGACAAGTTACCAAACTTATGTGAAATTTGGCATTATTATGGTAAAACACTATACCTGTTTTGTTGATCAATTCTGTCTGGCCTTTTCTGTTTGATGATATTACTCAATTTGTTTTCTCAATGCCAGTACACTTTCGAATCAATTCTTAAATTGTTTGGTAAAAGCTCAAAAAAAATTTCCTTAAAATCCCACCAAAGAGAGCATCTCTCTTTAAGAACATGTGGAACCCATTTAGAGCTTTGAAACGAAACCAATTTGTTTCAAGTAATCATAAATGGTTCAATTCGACAAATTTAATCTCTTAGTGATTTGACATGTTGTTATTCAACAGTTTGCTTCAATCAGTACTTTTATTTTGTTTTCATTGGCTTCAACTGGCCACCCAGAACGTGGTGCATCTTCAATATTGAAATTGCCAGAACGAAATTTTATAAACCAGTTTTGGCACTGTCTTTCTCTCAACACATTTTCTCCATACATGTACCACAATTTTTTTATGCTTGAACAGCATTTTCATTTTTTGGTAATAAAAAAGCAAAATATGCTGGAAATGATGCTTTTGATTTTCCATATTTCATGGGACACTGAAAAAAAAAATTGTACAGAATCAAACAAAATTTTTGCAAATAAGCCTTTAAATGTCAAATGTCAAAATATATAATGAAAATGCGGTTTAAAATGAAATTGGCTGGTAAAAATACATCTAATTCCTCTAGTAATTAAAAAATGAAATTACTTTCTGAACAGCCCAATAGAACAGTTGCTCAAACTTAATATTTATTAACCTTTGTAGAGAGGGTTAGTCAGATATGGCACTATCACGATGTAGTGGAGAATAAATGTGGGAAAATTCTTTAGAAATTTTCCCACGTATTTTTCTCATTTCCGTTTTGGAAAAAATTTTTTAAACAGTTACATCTAATAAAGAAAAAATCTTTCTTTATTGTCACATAATTCCTTTTTATGTGAATTTTTTTCGCAGTAATTGTTGCTAACATTTTTTTGCGGATATCAATGTCTTTCTCCAGTGCCATATGATTGCTCTTAACAGGTATATTCGTCGATCACTGCAGAGTGGTTAAGATTTTTACAACTTGATCTAGTTCAAAAATTATATATTTCTAGATAACCTTTTCTTTTTCTTATAATATTTATAATCTTGTTTGTGAAATCAAGACTAGGGTAAAAATTGAATCTGCTCACATAGAGTAAAACTTATAATTACAGCAAAGCTCTGATTATTAAAACTCATTTTACCAAGGTTCCTCTTTATCTAACAAGGAGGATGTCTAAGCTTTGGCATCTTGATTTTGCTGACATTTTCATGTTTTATACACTCTTTCTACTCTTGCATGGTAATGTGACTTGTGCCAATGAGCAATAGTTTAGGAGAAATTATTGTTTAAACTTTTTCACATATATTATTGAGTTTTATAAATGAATCATAATGAGTAGGCATGAATGAATGAGTAAGGCTTGGACCAAGTTGAAAAGCTTGACATTACTGTAGGAAAAATATTGATTCACTATTCACAGTTTTTGGTTTAAAAATATGCAAATGAATAATTCACACTTCAGAAAAAATTGGGGAAAAAAATTAGAAAAGACTAGGATGAACCCACAATATCCAGCTTTCAATCTGATGCCTTACCCACTTGTCCATGCCTACTTATTACAATATGTTTACAGAACTTGATATGTAATGCACATGGAAAAATTTTAAATAATGATTTTGCATAAACTACTGCTCATTGACAGGAGTTATGTTACCATGCATTAGTGGAAGAGGTGTACTAAAACATATTAAAATTTCAGCAAAATTCATGATGTTAAAGCTTGGATATCTTCCTGTAAGATGAACTATGGAACTTTATCACAAAGAGAAGAGAATGTAGAATACACTTTTTTCATGAATTTTTTTATGACACTGAAAAGGAGCTCTAGAAATTTTAAGAATTTACTCTGGTGACTTCTCAAGACAAAATAAATTCTTAAAAAGCAAAGAAATTTTTAATTGTAACTGTCATAGAGCTTTGCTTTTATAAACATATTTTTGTATTTTGTTTATCTTTTTGTATCAAACTTGTATTCTGAGTTATCTTAGATTTTGATTTATTGAAGATATTCTTAGGCCATATTATCTTAGATAATTGCAACTATGCTATGTATTGTAAATTTATCTTAATTGTATCTGTTTTTTGTAATGTTTAAAAGTAGAATGAAGATAGTTAAAGACCTGAAATACATTTCTGTAGAAGTAAAATTGGTGATTAATGCAATAAAAATAACATTTCAGTATAATTACTTATAATTAAATTTTTTTGAGTAAGATTCTTATAATCTAAAACATTATTTTTCAACAAAATTTAAATTTAATTTATCATAGAGCATAATATAACTGTTTACAAAACATAAAAAAGAAATAACTTTTGAATTAGTGTATACTTTTCATATTTTTAAAATATATATCTATGAACAATACTCATTCAAATTTAATTTAAAAATAATAATTAATACCAAAATCTGTATGCTGTCTTCTGAATAAAATAAATATTTAAAACAAGTTTCTCTAAGTTAGAAATTTATATCAACATCATATTAATTATAATGTTTTTTTCTATTTGTTTTTAGTTGGTCCTCCATATCTACTATATTTCCATGTGAAATTTTATGTTTCTGATCCTAGTAAATTACAAGATGAATATACAAGGTATAATTTTATTTTTTTAATGTATATTTTCTTTTAAATATTTAATAAAACAAATTTAAATATTTATACTACTTTAGATATCATTTCTTCCTTCAACTTAGAAGAGATATAATTGATCAGAAGCTTTATGTTCCTCTTACAGCAGCCATACTTTTAGCAAGTTATGCAGTTCAATGTAAATTATTTCATTATATTTTAAAATTTTTAAAATTTATATACATATACATATATATATATAGCTTTTAACTAAAATTATTTTTTTAGTTTTTTAATTAACTAATCAACATGTAAAAATTCGTTGCATTGTGTATAAATATAATTAATTACGGTAAAACCTGTCAATAGCGGCCACTGACGGTAACGTAAGGTTTTACTTTAATAATTTGAT